CAACCCCAGGACCTGGCAGGCCAGGAATGGTGACATCAGTGTCAGGAAATGACCAAGGAGCCTGGCCAGGCCACACCCTCCCCGTGTCCTCCCCAGGCTCTAAATATAGACCAGAAAAGACAAAGCAGACAGGGTGACCTCCATCTGCCCAGCACGAGGTGAAAGGTTGTCCACCAAGGCCTGAGTGGAGTCTGGAGACCTGGCTCCTCTTCCTCACTGGGGTCACAGCTCCCCCGGCATTGCCTTGAGCCCAATTCTCATTCTGAGCCACTGTGTGCCTGGCAGACCTCCCCAGAGCTGCACCCCAGGCCCAAACCCCATTCCCCGGGACTCCATGAATCAGCTATCATGTACCGGGCAAAGGGGTGGGTGGAAGATAGGGAGCATGGGCCGGGCAGAAGAGGGGCTGGCTCGAGGCTCCGGGGATGGCAGCAGGTCTGTGTGAGCCTGGCTGGGCATGGTGAGAGAGGACCCCGAGATGCAAGGTGGGGTGCACCAAGCAGTTGATCTTTTGCCCGAGGGCAGTGCTGGAGGCTTTGAAGGGTCAAGACCCCTGTAGCTGCCGTGCATCAAGGGGATCAGTGTTGGGATGAAAGTGAGAAGGAAAAGGGGCTCTGGAGGTTTGGCCTGAGCATACCTTTCCCTTCAGCCAGAGGTGGCTGCCCAGGGGCCTCTAAGCCAGGGAGTGACGGAAGGCCCAGTGGGGTCTGTGGCAAACCCATGAGCACATGCCTTGGCTGCGGAGGACAGCTGCCCGTCAGCTCCCGCCCAGTCTCCTGTCGTGTGGGAACGCAGACGCGGTGTGGCCAGGTCGTCCAGTTACAGGAGAAGCCAGAAATGTGGATTTTTATATGAAATCACCTGACCTTTTACTGTTGGCTCAAAAATTGAAAAACACTTTGCAAGCCAAACAAAACACACATGTGGGCTGGATTTGGCCTGGTTCTCGTCCTTGGCTGTCAGCTCAAAACCTGTCTTTTAAGCTTCCTGTGCCAGGAGCATCCCGACTGCGGAACAGTCTGGACAGCATTGTTCTTGGGGCCTCTTGTGACTCCCGAGGAGGGGTGGATGCTTCCCCCAGGGAAACGTTGGGAACCCGGGATGCCTGGGGACGAGGTGGGCTGTGAGCAGGATGAGGGAGGAGAGGAGTAACACCAGTTCATAATCACCCACACTTCCTACAGTGCTTTGTGCTCTCTGTCCCTCCCAGCAGACCCCCCAGCCCCCAGCCTCGTCTGACTGCCCCACTGAGCTGTGTGACTTGGTTTCCCAGGCGCCCACTGCTTTGGCCCCCAAAGTGAAGCCTCCAGCCCCTTTTGTGTAAGGATGCTATGAGTGCCGCTGGGACATAGGACATGGTGAAGCTGTCATGCCAGGTGTCACTGCCATGGCCCGGGGTCTGAAGATTGTCACCCTCCCTCCATGGCTGCTTGGAACCTCAGTGGCATTGGAGGATGAGTCTCAAACTGTGTCCTTCTTCTAACTTCTATTATGGGGAATTCCAAATAGACACAAAAGGGAGAAAAATGGCATAAAGGCACCCCAGCTTTCACGATCACCCGTGCAGGGCCACTCTTATTTCTTGTCTGCCCCCGCATCCTGCCCCCCTCCTTCAGCGGACGATGTTTACACAAATCCCAGGCATGTAATTCCATCCATAAATATTCCACTATGTTACTCTAATAATAACCAAAATCCCATGATCACACCCAAAAAATGATGTCGAATATCCAAATATTCAGTAGCGTTCAAATAATCCCAGTGGTCCCTTGGGTTTTTTTTTTAACAGTTGCCCTGTTTGAATCACAATCCAAAATCCACATGTTGCATTTGGTTGACATCTCTTACCTTCCCATAGTTTCCCCTTTATTTTTTTCCCGGAAATGTATTTGCTGAGGAAACTGGGTGGTTCGTCCTTAGACATCCCCACAGCCTGGAATTTGCGGATTGTATCCTATGGCGTGTTTAACATGTTCCTCTGGCCCCTGTGATCCCCCAAGTGGGAGCCACCTGCAGACGCCTGGTGGGATTCAGGTTTGGTTTTTGGCGAGAACACTTCATGAGTGGCTCTGTGTTCCTGGTCACAGGTGGCACCTACTTTCCTGGTCCCCTCTCTGTGGGGCCAGCCCTGCCCTTGGTAAGGGATCTACCCCACAGCTTTCGGCGGGCATTATGAGGGGAGCTGCATGAGGGCTCGGGAGGGGGCCTTGCACACGGGAGGCACGCAGTGCATCGCAGCTCCTGCCACTAACAGTGTGGGGCAGTCTCCGTCTGCCTGACCTAGGGGCACCGGGCACCTGTGGAAGGGGCTTCACCTGTGCCGTCTCATTAGTTATGCCCCCATTCCACAGGAGAACACTGTGTCTTGGAGGTGAGGTGATTTGCCTGGGGGAAATGGGGTCACACAGTAAGAAAGGGGTGAAGCTGGTCCTCAAACCCAGGCATTTCGGTGCCTCAACCTGTCCTCTATGCTACATTGACACCCTGGGAACTAGGGGTGTGTGTGTGCAGCTGGAGTGGTGACCAGGCTTGCCAGGACCCCAGAGGGGAGCCCCAAAGTGGGGGGCAAACAAGGCAGGGAGGAGGACTTCATAAAAACAAACAGACGTTAACCAGAGGGACTGGTTAGGTAAAGGATATACCTCCCCACCCGCTCCATGCATGTGAGGTCCAGGGAGTAGGATGGCAGGCAGCCCAGGCGGCTGTGTTGGGGGCAAGTGTAGTGATGGAATTCCCCACTTCTCACCTCTCCAGCCTACTTGGGCCCTCCCAACCCCAGCACCCTGGACCTTCAAGGTCAGAGAGGTGGTGACATGGGATACACTCCTCTGCACTCTCCAGCCCTTTCCAGGCTGTAAAATGGGCACGAGCCGGCTTCCCAGGCCCCTCCCTGGGAGAAAGAGATAAGGAGAGCAGAGAAGAGATAAAGTGAGCTGCAGGCAGGTGCTGGATTTACTCAGCAAGTTCTGAATTCCCCGAGGCTGAGAGCTTGGCCCCAGTAGCAGGAGTGGGAGGAGAAGCTTTTAGCCAGAGGGCATGTCCAGTGTCCTGGTCATCCCTTTGTTGCTTTGGAGGACCTCTTTCCTCTAAATGTGCCCCTCCCCCAAGGACAGAGCATGGAAGCTTCCTAACCAGCCTCCTAGGAATCACCACCCCAAACCAAATCTACCCATCTTGCTTTAAAAAAAGAACAAAAACACAGCACTTATTACATGTGCATGATTATTAAAATATTTTAGAAAAATTGGAAAATTCCAAGAAGTAAAAAGAAAAAAACGTATAGCACTGCCCAGAAATACCCACCATTACTTTTGCAAAGTGGGTCCCTCTAGCCGTATGCGTGTGTGTGGTATCTGGTTCTTGAAAGCACATTCTGCTGCATCCTGGAGAGCATTTCCCTGCATCCTGGGTCTGCTGTGCTGCGCCATGGCACCGAGGGGCCTGTCAATTAGCATAGGGCATTTGAGTTGATTCGGTTTGGCAGAATTGTAGTCGAGGTTTCCATCAACATCCTCCTACAGAAATCCATGTCCACACCTCTGATTGCTTCCTTAGGGTGAATTCCTAAGAGTGGGATTATCAAGTCAAAGGGCATGAGCATTTTTAATGCCCTTAATAGAAACTGCCAAATTGTTTTCTGCCCGTCTTTGTGAAGGCCTTGTACCCGGACAGAAAACCACCAGGCTGGCGCTCAAACTGGGTCCACACGTGGGTGGTGCTAGAAGGGGTCCCACCGTCCATGGATATCTGAGGCTTGGCACACAGTGGGTGCGCAAGACAGGCTTGTGGAATGTGTAGTCTGGTCCTGCCCTCTCATTTTACAGATGGCGAAACTGAGGCACAATGGTATTGGACCGCTTCTGGGAGGGTGGTGGCATTGCCAGGGCTGCAGCCATCGTCGCCAGCCTCTGTGAGGGCTGAGGGCTGAGGCCAGGCAGGCCCCAACAGAGGATTAGGTGTGAGGGAGGTTCCCATTCATTCATCTATCCGCACAAACACCCTCTTGACCGCTGTTAACCTCCAGGCTCCCTCTTCCTTCCTCACCCGCTTATAGAAAGAGTAGCTGAGACTCCCTAGCCCTGCTTCCTCCCCAGCCCTCAGCAGCCTCATTTCCACCCTGACCGCTGCCCTGAGACCTTAGGCACTCAAGCCACCAGTGGCCCCAGTTGACCAGGCCAGTGGCCAGGTGCTATGGCGGCCAGTTGTCACTCCTGATCTCTTACTCTTTCTTGAATGTCTGCAGGCCCCAACCCCGGTGACACCTGGTCTCCGTTCCTCCCCACCTCCCTGTGCCTCCTCTGCCTCCATTCTGCCAGGGTGGCCAGAGGGCTGAAAGGAGATAGTGCAGGCAACCGCCCCTTTGCAAACACACTTCAACACTCAGGATTTCCAAAAACCCATGTGCACCGGGGACACGGTCATCCTTCCAGGACTCAGGAGCACACAGTCAGGCCCAGGCACCGGCTGAGTAATAAACATCAGTCACCCAGTGTGAGCCTCTCCGATGAAGAAACTGAGGCTCAGAGAGGTTAAGCAACTTGTCCAAGGCCACAGAGCTAGGGAGGGGCTTGACTGGAATTCGTGGGAGGTGAGTCTGACTCTAGGGCCACTTGACCACACGTCAACTCGTACACAAGTCACATCTCTACACAACACATACACTGCACCAGCGCACGCACGGACAGAAGGTGCCTGACCGCCGTACCCACACCCCACAACACACACAGCACGTGTACTCCGGAACACGCAAGCAGCCAGCGGGGCCGCGGGGCGGCGCGGGCGCGCACACGGCCCCCCG